ATGTCTGGTAAGAGAAGTGAATGTGTTGCTAAAAAGTTGCGTAGGTCTATTGCGTTAGAAGATAAGATGGACATAATTCGTGGAATAGAAGGTGGTGATACCCATCGTAATGTGTGCAAAAGTATGAAATTGCCTCCTTCCACTGTGACTACCATAATGAAAAATTCATATAAAATAAAACAGTCAATACAACAGGCTACGAGAATAAGTGCAACGCAAGTGAGTTATAGCAGAAGTAAACTTTTAGAAAGAATGGAGAAATTACTGCTGCTATGGATGGGTGATATGAATTGAAAAAACATCCCCTTGACTGAAATTGCTATCTCGGATAAGGCGAAGTCAATTTTTGAGGAACTTAAGTCGTCAATGTTTGGGTGCAACGCATGTCATTGACTTCCCATTGATTTACATTATAAAAAGAGTTTCAATTTATGCCGATTCCATTTACTCCGGTTCGTCCAGAAACGCATCCCCGGCGTAAATCGAGGTTTACATGTATTTGCATGTGAGATCAAGTAAGTGGCGCTTGAAGTAGTTGAATGAATTGGTTTGAGCAAAATTTCTTTGCATGTCATTCAGTAAAAAGAAAAGAAACACCACCATCATCAACCACATGGATGACTTTTACTTTACCTTTAAGGAATGTATAAATAAATACACAGGACATTTGCACAAATTTTAATGCACACTTCAAGTACCGTAAAATATCCTCATGTACATAGGGCATATGGAAGCGCTTAACCCTTATCATAGGGGAATAAAGAATAAGGAATTATGAAATCAGTGTGGATTAACTTCTTTGAAACTGTTCCCCATTTTGAAGACAAAAGACAAAATATGATCAGCAATTTCATGTTGTACATGACCAGTGTATTCTGAGTGTGAGATCAGAACCAGCCTGTAACATAGTGTTCATACGTGAGAATTTGCTTCGCTCCATTTGCTATGTCTGTCAACCAGGTTCAACAGAAATTAACACACTTACTCTCACACATGTATAAATACACAGTAAATTATGGGTGGAATGTGAATGGGAAGAAAGTATTACTTACAGCCACGTAGCATGTAATAAGCGGGATTGGTAAACTATGGCTCTCTGGGTTGCATGTTTAAAAGGAAATTTTTAACTTCTCCATTAAATGATGATTAAGATATCAAGAATGTTAAATTATTCTTTGTTATTTTCATATCTTCATGATAACCACTTCAAAAAAGAACAAATATTGCCCCCACCTATACTACATTTCTTATCTTTGTGCCCAACTGTGATATATATATGTATATATATATATATATAAAAAATTAAAAAGTAGGAGGCCTTTAAGATTATGTATGAGGTCTGCCACAAAAATAACGAGACTGATGCTGTAAGTAGGCAAACAATTATGGTGAGGGCGAAATAAGCAAACCATATTTGACCTTGATCTGTCCTCTACCAGTGACGCAAGTTTCAAATAGTTTGCTTCACTCAGTAGCAGTGGATGAGTGTTTTTGTACAGACATGTTTTTACCCTTGGCCAGAAAATGTCCGACTGCAAAAGTGAACAACGAGTTAACATCAAGTTTCTTGTTAAACTGAAGAAAGCCACGATGGAAACTTTTCAATTATTGACTGAGGCTTACGGCGAAGATTGCATGTCTCGTGCACGTGTTTTTGAATGGCACAAACGATTTTCGGAAGGCAGAGAATGCGTGAAAGATGATGATCGCCCAGGACGTCCACACACAGATGTTCAAGGCAATGTTGATTGTTTTCTTCGATATCAAGGGTATTGTGATGGCAGAGTGGGTACCCAGTGGCCAGACGGTAAATCAGCAGTATTACAGTGAAGTCTTCACAAAATTGCGTGAACGTGTGAGAAAGAAACGACCGGAATTATGGAGAAACGGGTGGATTTTTGCACCAGGACAATGTACCAGCCCACAACGCCTTGTCTGTGACGAAGTTTTTAGCTAATAAAAACATCATTGTGCTTGACCACCCACCCTATTCGCCAGACCTCGCTCCCTGCGACTTCCACCTCTTCCCAAAGATGAAGTCGGTGCTCAAAGGAACCCATTTTTTGTAGGTAGAAGATGTGAAAGCAAAAACGGCGGAGATCCTCAACAGCCTTACAGAATATGGCCTGCGGAATTGCTTTGAACGTTGGCAGCATCGTATGCATCAGTGTGTCAACTCAGAAGGGAACTATTTTGAAGGCGATCGTAGTTGATTTTCTGAATTTATTAAATAAAAAGAGTTACAAGCACAGTCTCGTTTTTTGTGTGGCAGACCTGTTATTTCACCAATTTTGTATATTATGAATATTTGTTACATACAGCATTTTTATAATGTTAAGCATTCTCATTTTATTGAGACTGCAGTGTTCTCATTTAACAAACCATATTAAAGAAAAGCACACCCTGAATTCTCGCTATAATATAAATCAGCATCCACAGCAAGAGAAAAAAAATATAATACTAAGATCTTTATAAATGTACCAAGCCAGAACCAAATTTTGTGTCCAATATTAATCTACCGTAGACCACATACAGGACTGCTGTGTACTTCTTTATATTGGAATTGCAAATCCCAATATCACTTTTCAACAATAATAAATCCAAAATGTTGTAGCACTTCTGTGAGTGAAATAAAGAAATTTCTTTCTCTCTCTTCAAACAAGCAAGAGGACGAATATTTTCTAGCGTTTTTCTCCGTTTTATCTATGCACAAAGACAGACCATAGCAGAGCCATTCAAAAACTGGGGGATTATGGATACAAGAAAGATGAGGTGAGATGCAGATATGAATTTTCATGCCATGGTGGGGTTCAGACCAGTCCACACAAGTACATGTTCAGCTTAAAATTGTGTAGATCTTAAATCACATTTTGGTTAACAAAAATAAAAATGTTTTACCTTTGCATGTGCAGAATTCATAGTTTCACACATGACAGTGCTCATGTGTTCTGCTCCACCCAAATAAGCTGTTTCAGCAGCAGAAGTTGCCAGTTTATCAACATACTCCATGAAGCTGGTTAACTCCTGCAAACACAAAAACAGTGTAATCAATTTCACAAAACAACCTAGATCTAAATAAGTTACGATTAGATCTCATAACTAAAAAGTGTGGCACGTTTTCTTAATAAAAATCTACAGTTACACACTATAATAATGTGTCGAGTCATGCGTGACTTGTAATGGTCTGCCTACTACACATCACCATCATTCAGTTTACTACTGTGCTTGGCAAAAACAATACCAAATTTGAAAATTTATAAAGATGGCTGTCTCCTGGGTAGTAGCACGGTGTACTCTGGTATAAATTTACACAAAAAAATTAACTATTTGGGGCGAGACTTTAGGTGCCAAATGTCAATGCACAAACACGGTAAGTTAGAAAGAGGTACAAATCACTGAAGAGAAATAAAGAAACACTCTGATATGCTGATGCAACACTAACGGATGCATAATTGGAAAAGGATGGAACAAAAGAGATCAAGTTGTAAGTACTTGGGGTAAAAAATTTAAGACTCTTATAGATTATATTACTGTCAGAAAGGAAGAAAGAACTTACATAATAGATGTTACAGTGACTATGTCATGATTTAAATTATCATTATAATGATAAGTATGTTATGACAAAGTATTCAGACTTGAAGACAGAGTGTGTTTAATTTTGCAGTATTTGTTATTTTTTTCTGAGTATTTTTCCCAAGTTCTATTGAAGTTTTCACTTCATTCCGACCCTCTGACCTTCTGTTCATCTCATGTTATTACTGACTGCCATCTGGAAAAGCAGGAGTGCAAACACCCAATGACCTCATGCTAAACTGAATGATTACTATCCAACTAATGCCAGCCTTGTGTTGGACTTGTCAAGATACTGGAAGCATTAAACATTCAGGACTAGTGTAGTTTATTCAATTCAATTCAATTCTTTATTATTAGTGTGCTGAATCAACAGCCAGAAGGCCAATTACAGATACAGCAAAAGAGATGAGCACACGAACACAATAAAAACATAAAAGGTAAAACAAGCAAATATAAAATACATTAATAAGGAGGACATTAATACACAAGAAAATTGTAACTAAATATATTAACATATTTGTAAAAATAATTTAAATCAATTAATTAAATTATACTATTATAGAATGTGACAATTTTTGTTTCAAATATGTCCAAGTCCCTGCAGATGACATTAGCAGCTGATGCGCATCTAGCAGAAGGACTGTTTTTGATCAAAGGGCTAAAACTGAACATAGAAAAATCTCTCAGATTCCGAGCAGGGATGCAGAGACCAACAGCTTCCAGAAAGGAAGGACAACATTTAAAGCTGCTTTAGACCTGCGCAAGGAACAGTGCATCACTACAATGCCTTCTCTTAGGAAGGGTATGAGTTTTAAATACTCTAAAGCATCAGCGTAGCTGTAATGCACTTGGGGAGGAAACGATAGTAGCAAAGGGCTGCAAACTTCTGCTGGATATGTTCCAGTTTGTTGGAATCAGTAGTTGTAATAGAATTCCAAACGACTGAGGCGTACTTGAGCTTGGATCTAACTAAGGTTACATATAACATATACAGGCAATCGAGAGAAGAGAACAAAAAGGTTATTGTGCAAACAAGACCCAGCAACTTAATAAAATATGTGGTAAACATGGTTGTGAAATCGGAGCTTACAGTCGATAAGTAGTGGTGATGGTATCAGACGAGGAATTAAACAGGACTGATGAAACACCACTTCTCAACAACAAAAAGATATACATGGTATTTGTTTCCTTAAAAACACAGAGAAATATTCAAAGATGGCTTCACCTCTAATCGCTGCTTACAGTCCCTTACTTTCATTCTCATTTCAATAACCTGATCCCATAATTCTGAGTGAGCACTGCCTGCACTCTGTACTTGCAGACTCTGGTCCATGAGGGACATCAGTTGTTCCATACACTCCCTAGAACACATTTAAATCCATATTTGAAATCTCAGAGCCTGAATGAATGAAACAATCTCTCATTCTTTCATCTGTATAGTGAAATCATAACTAATGGTTTTCCTGGTCAATGCTGGATTTAAACTTCAAGTAGAAGCCTATTTATCTCATTTGCGTCTCTTCTGCCCAGTCTATTATATAATGCAGTACAAAATATCATGATATACTGACAGATGCTAAGCACTCATAAATTTACATTCACAGAAATAGACTATGGTACTTAATGAATAAGAGGAAGCACAGATATTCTATATACAACAGTGGAAAAAATACTTGCACTGCACAAGCAGGTATCAAATCCTGGCCATCCAGTTCATATACTGTCCTTTACTTTGTTTGCAGGGCCATCATCACTATACATACTTATTTACTTTTACAACAAACCTGGGAAGAAATATAGGAGAAAAAATAAAACTACATGAAATGTTGGGGTAGATTCCCTGGTGTTTTCTGCTTACTGTGAAGGATGGAAGATGATGCGGAAAAGTTCTAGTCAATCAACAGAAAAATATGCACACAGATCTGACCAGGAATCAAACCTAGAACCCTCTGAAAAAGTGTCTAATGTCCTACCCTGAGACCTTCAGGTTCCCTAAGAAAAATCTGAGATACCTATTGTGGTAACTTACACCAAATTTTTAAAATACAATTAACTTTCTGAAGTATACTTTTTGAAAATTTGCTGTAGAAAACTTTAGGTAGCATTTTCCATACAAAATATACAACTATTAATATTACAAACACAAACATTACCTATACATTTTGGAAGTGTCAGAAATAGCTGCAAAAGTCAATGTAAGGAGTTGCTGGGTGGCTGATATTGTAGAAGTTGATGCCTGGCGAATCAAATATTCATGCGTCATTTCATGAGATGAAGGGGCCTGAAATACAGAAACAGGTCCTTAGTTAACATTTCAGTATGGATGTAAATAAACTGTGACATGAGGTCTGTATGCTAAAACCATTGTTTTAAAATTACTAAGTTACTTTATATGTTACACCTTCCAATATAAATTAATATGATATTATTTAATTCCTTCAACTCATATAACTTTGGATTAATACTCAATTTTTTAAATGGTGAGTATACAGAGAAATTATTTACTTCAATACCTGTTTCAGTTTGTTGTCTTTTTCCAAGGGAAAATCGCATTGTACAAACATAAAAAAGAGAGATGTCTTCACATAGTGTGGTAGGCTTCTTTTAAGATGAGTTGAATGCTGTACAAATATTGACTGAAATGAAAGCAATGTATTAGTTCATTAACACAATGTCTACAGATAGTAAATGATGAAAAAGTAAAGACCCATCATTAGTCACAAAAACAGTATCTAATAATTCATCACAAAGAACATATATGCCATGCCATACATTACATTGTGCAGATATAGTGCAGAAAAATCAGAAATCAACACTGTCAAACAGCAAAGACAGACTAGAATGGAATATGCATTCTAATTACACATAAAAAAATTAATAAATATATATAAGCTTAATCTAACAACCTAACCCAGTGGTTCTCAACCTTTTTTAGACCTAAGGCCACATTCACCCATTCTTAGAGACTGGTGGGGTTATAAAAGCAGACAGCCTATTGAAAATGCAAGGAAATTTATGAAAAATGCTACTACCTCAGTACTGAAAACAAACTCACTTTACTTAATAACTAACTGGATGGCTTACCGAACCCAAAGGTTCATCACTGACTTAACCAAAGCCCTCCACCGGACCCTGTCCTTGGCCAACAAAATCCAGTCTCCTTCAACTCCTATCTCCCATAGATCCCGCCTGATATTATCCTCCCATCTACGTCTAGGTCTCCCCAGCGGTCTCTTCCCCTCAGGCTTCCCAACCAATACCCGGTGCACACCTCTTGTCCCATTCATGTGTGCTACATGCCCTGCCCATCTCATTATTCTCAACTTAATCACTCTGACAATACTGGGGGAGGAGTATAAATTTTTAAGTTCGTCATTATGTAGTTTTCTCCGGACCCCATTGTCTTCTCTCCTAGGCCCAAATATCCTCCTCAACACTCTATTCTCAAACACCTGCAATCTACATTCCTCCCTCAGAGTGAGTGACCATGTTTCACACCCATACAAAACAACAGGCTAAATTATTGTTTTGTATACTTCAATTTTCAGGTTCCTAGAAATCAAATGGGAAGACAAAATATTTTGAACTGAGAAGTAGCAAGCATTTCCAGAATTTAAACTCCTCCTAACTTCCTCATGAGTGTCATTTTGTTTTGTTATTGTTGTTCCCAAATATTTGAACATTGTAACACCTTCAAAGGATTTATTACTCACCCTAAGATAATTCTGCCCGCCTGTCTGCTGACGACAAGATACTAACATGTACTTAGTTTTCTCTGAATTTACTTCTAGCCCCACCTATCTACTAGTCTCTAGTAAAACTTCTGTGTTCCTCTTTATTGTATTTATATCGTCCCTCAATAAATGAACATCATCAGCATATGCCAATAGTTGATGTGACCCATTCAATTGCAAACCCTCCTGCCTATCTTGGACTTTCCTGATGGCATAGTCTAGCACAAAGTTAAAGAGCAAGGGAAATAAAGCATCTCCTTGTTTTATACCGTTCTTGATGAAGAATGACTCAGATAAATATTTACCTACACAAATTTTGCTACAGGTTTCATTTAAGCACATTTTTATTAGACTCACTAGCTTCTTTGGTATGCCAAATACAATAAGAATATTATATAGCACTAATCTCTCCACATAGTCATAAGCTTTTTAAAAATCTATAAATAATTGATGTATCTGACGAATGCAAAGATCTGATCAAGTGTTGACCTGTTTCGTCTGAACCCACACTGATGATCCCCAATAATTTCATTCGCATAAGGAGTTAAACTTGCCAAAAGAAAGTTTGATAGAATAATGTTCTTTAATAAAATCAGTTATTAATGGGATAACTGACACTGCTTTTGCTTGAGTAATCTTCCAATGCCAGATTTCACTTCTATTGATGCAAATCAAATGCATTCCTTCAAAATGTTCATAAGTAAGACGCATCCTAGTTCTTTATTTGAAGTTCTCCATCAAATTGCAACAGTTGCTCACAGTGACAATACTGATGATATTAACAAAATGTGTTTTATATCAGGTATATATAATAGTATAAATTGTACTTATATATATTTACTGTGTTATAATAGCTTATTCCACATCCTAGTGACATCTGGCTAACATAAGGACCTATGGATTGTAATGTATTTATGTCAGTCCTGATACTATACATATTACTAAGAGCAATATCTTATCCCACTTAAGTTTTGTGTAGTTACATTTCTTTAAATATAAGTGTTTATACACGAACACATTCTTACATAGCTAATGCCAACTGACTGCCCTACTGTAAAGACAGAGGCTTCTAAAGTGCCAAAACAGGCCGGTGGATATAATCTTTGATGAAGGTGGTGAGGTTATAATATACCTGCTACAATAAATATTCAGCGTCACTTTATTAAGAAAATAAAATTCATTTTAATGTGGTGAGGATTCTCACAACACTTACAGAATTGAAAATATATTACGCAAGTAGAAAATTCTAACATTTCACATTAACGTCCTTACCTTTAATACGTTTAAGAGTATTTTGGGCTCAACTGAAAACGACATGTTTTGGATACTGTTCAGTGTGCGAAATAAAAATTTGTTGCAGAACGCCATTATTTTATGAGCAAAATTTACAAGTTCTTATTGCCGTAGTTGTTTTGTAAAAGCGTGGAGTCAACCTTACAAAAAACTTCCACCATTTTTATTTCACTCGGTTAATATGACAACAAACATGGTAATTTATTTGTTATGAAACAGAGATCGATTGTGTTAGAGTTTTCAAAACAACCTGTGAACTGAAGATTGAAATGATATGACTAGAATTAAGCTGTTCAATAATCTTTACCCAATAAAAAGTCTGAATCACGATATAAAGAACTTCAAGCCAGCACTAAACAAATTTCCCATCTCACTCCTACTCCACTGAAGAATTTACCTCAACCAAAAATTCTCTGCTATTATAAATACATGTAAGCCATAGTGGTTATGCCTTCTTGTGTATTTATTTTTGCGGTAATACTCTTGTTCACTGAAAATTACTGTCATAACTATGTAATTTATATTTGTATTAGAAACAAGCATTGTGTTTGTGCTATGGCATGTTTGCTCAACACTCTTGGCTTCGACATATGAGAGATCGAGGGAATAAAAAAAAATTCAATTCTGTCCTGTTCTATTCTGACAGTGTCAGACGATTGCAGTTTAGTGGGTCCAACTCTTCTATTGGAAGACCTCAGCATAGATGGGAGAATAATATCAAAATTGATCTCAGAGAAAAATGGGTTTTGGAAAGTGTGGATTGGGTTCATCTATTAATGGCTCAATATAGGGACTGGTGGTGGATAACACACCAATTAACCTTCAGGATCCATAAAACGCTGGTAATTTCTCAACTAGCTAAGCACAGGATAATAATTTTTGTTAGTAATGCATAATTTAAACATTGGGGATGCCATGTAGTCCAAGTTACTGAAAAAAACATTATTAAATAAACTATAAAGAAATTTAGTCCTAATGTTGAGTGCATTTTTTTGTAGAGTAGAGTAGAGTTAGAGTAGAGTTTATTTACATTCCATAGATCCTTCTTGGGACTCAACTGTCCTATCTACATTGTTATATGCTTGCTAGTTGCCATTGCCACTATGCAATTCATGAAAAATGTTCTCCCAGTAATAAATGTGATAAAATATTTTAAGCCATGTATAATAAAGCAGTAAGGTTTACTGGAAGTAGCACATCTGCTTAGGTAAGGCGTAAAACAAACATTCTGACACTATGGATCATAAAATATATACAAACCATGTTCAAAGTTGAAACTACCAGAATTTTCTTATAAATTGGTGCCTTCAAAAAATTGCAAGGCCTTAGAGGAAATTCATTCCTAACTATAAATAAATGTCAAATTACAGATAAATACTAATTTTTTATGTTTATAAATTTGATATGTCTTTTATCTACCTGCATGAATTCAAAATGCTAGTGCCAAAGTGTGTTATATTAAATGTATCCTTAATGGACATAATGATTTATTTTTGATATGTTGCATTAAGACTGTGAAGTCAGAAAATTCCTGTCTTTGGACAAATAGTGGTTCTGAACAAAATATTCATTATCTGATATATTCTCAAGAGTGCAAAACTTTGGGGCTAGGAGCAGGTTGCAACTCTTGTATTAACCATCACTCAAGAAACCAAATAAGTAAACTCTGTTACTCTGTGCACTGAGAAAGAAGGGTACAAAAAAACTTTGACGTGTTCTGACAGTGATGTGACACAATGAGTATAATTATTTTATTGGACTTTTCTATTTTTAACCACAAAATTTTTTACAGCTGGGGTCTCTCAGTTACTGTAGTGTGTGATTATGATTGGATGATCAGGGTTCAATCTCCAGCAGGGAAAATGATCTTTCCTCTAGCCTCTGAGTCCAGACTGGCTCTGGGGCCCACCTAGCCTTCTATCCAGTAGGTAACATGGGTCTTTTCCCTGGGGTAAAGAATGGCTTGGGTGTGATGCTGACCACTTACCCCCATCTAGTGCTGAGGTTAGAAATAAGTAGGATCTATACTTCTCTCCCCCATGGCATGTAATGGGACAAATTTACTTTACAAGATTTGGAAGTTGGTTCGAGTTTCATCTTCTGGTGACCTGGTGATGATATGAGAGATAAAGTATAGGTAGGGTAAATCAAGATTATGAAGTAGTACTGTATTAATGCAACCATGGAAACCCATGGAACTTTATTACAAGATGGAATAACAGCAACAACAAAGCAAATAGACTTATTAACATATGATGCATCAATCTAAAGTATTAATTATACTTTCATTTTTAAGTTTAATTTCATTTTATTTTCACTGTTAAATGATCCTTATGGTACAATTACCAACTAAAATTCAGAAATAGAACTTCTTCATATTTTGAGAACAGGAGCAAATATGTTCTTAAAGATCAATTTAGAATACAAATTGTACATGTGATGTAGACAAGTACTGTTTCCGAAATACTGCAACTGATTAAAATTAAGATTTCTGTCTTCTGGGTTGTTGCGCTGTGTAGTCTGGTCGATGTTAACCAACATTTCAGAGGTCATACTGCCTCCGTCATCAGGGCGATGAATATTCATCGACCAGACTACACAGCACAACAACCCAGAAGACAGAAATCTTCATACTCATCGCTGTGAAAACCTCAATCTTACTGATTAAAATTATATGCCTATTAAGTTGTTTTTGTGTTCATTTAAGAGATATATTTTTTATTACTTATGAAAGGAATTAGATTATTCTGTAAACATGGTAAGTGGCATTTCAGTATGTATGAAGGGTTTGTGGAATTGGCTTAATCTATTTTTATTCAATATGGAAGTCATAATTTAACAGCACATTAAAAAATTAAATTAAGTATCTGGAAGAGGAGGGGTGGTTGTATCTAATCTGTGTCTAATCAGACATAACACTTTAATTTTTTAAGAGGTTTATCCTCAGTTTGAATGAATATTATTTACAAGTTAATCTAATGCAGCTTGTATTGTATTTAAACAAAGTTTATAAGACTTTATAGCCTTGTATCCAAACCATTTGTCTGGAAATTATCTTTGATACTGCTGGATATGTACATTATTCAAAGTTCACTGTGCTGTATCTATGAGTGTATTATCATAAACGAATGCTTCAACTGTTTTCCCATCACCTTCTGCCATTTTGTTTGGCTCTTGATGATGAGACTTGATGTCTGCTGGTATTTCCCAGAAATGTGAATCATCAAAATACTGCTCCTTCGTCATCTTGTTTAGCACTGGAACTCGGAGAATGAAACCTATAGTATGAAATGCATATTGTGTTAGTAAATTTTAAAATAATCACTTATAAATCTCAAATTTAAGTGTTTGAATGTCTGTGTAAATGTAGCTGCATCCTAATGAATTCGAGGTAAAAAAGTGGAATAATTAAATCTAATTTCATGTAAGCTGCATGTTAATTTCTGCCTAATTAGCTGAGATCTTTTTTTATTGGCATGTAACATTTATATATATGAAAATAATAGCATTCATACTATCATATAAAGAAAAAGGATAAATTTTTGCAAGATTTTAGTCTGACAAAACTTTTTATCATGTTTTAAAGCTCCAGAATTATATTATGAGGCATAGGTGATGTTGATAAAACATTTTATGACCATCCCAGAAAAGTATATTGGTATACCAACCAGTGTGGTCTATGATTCATTTTATAAAGAATATCTCAGAAGTTAAGCAGCTCATAATACTGTCTTCTTAATTACAAACTAATTACATACTGTAAAACTGAAACAATAATAATATATGAATCTCCCATTTATTTATGAAGTATAATAGTTTTAGCCACTTTTTAAACCATTGAAAGAATCAATACATTAATTACAAATTACACATAGTATTACCAAAGTAGGTTCACAGTGTTTGAGAGTTTTCGGTAGAGTTGCAGCAGACTTGAAAGAAGTAGGTTCTCCAAGAAAGCAGTGTTCAAGTGTAATGCTCAAGTTCAACTCTTTGAATCATGCAGCAAGCATTACAAATGTCTATGCAGTGTGAGTTTATGTGCATTTTAATGTAAATTGAAAGGTCATAAGCTGAGTGATCATATTCATAATATGTTTAACCAAACATTTTATTTCATTTAATGTATGAGTAATTATTTCTCCGCTGAATGTTATGACAAATAATTATATGGAATTATGTGACAAAAGAATACTACCCATTTTGTAAAGATGTTCTGATTAGTCATTAACTATACACTTCAAAAGTTTTAATTTCACACCCATCATCAAGAAACATAAATGCCCAACTGGTCAAGTTGGAAAGTACAACTATGTCAATTTTCAGGGGCACACAGTCTCGCAATGATTTAAGATTAATATGGATCATGGTTAAAGAATAAAAATTGTTTGAGTTATAATTGCAGAAAAGTAATTCTCAAGTAGCCATACATAAAAGTTCAAATAGTACTGCTGGGTATTTTAATTCTTCTTCCTGAGGCTTTCTTCTTTAGAGTCAATGATCTATATATTTGTTATGCATGCTTCTATAGTCTATGTTTGTGCTTGCAACTTCTATTGCATTTGTGGCATATGAATTGAAATTGTGGACTTCTGGGTTGTTGCAGCATATAGGTATTATAGTTAACCAAAACTTTGGCCTCTGCCTTTTAGACCACACAGTGTAACAATTCAGAAGACCACAATCTGAATCCTACTGCTATTATTTCTTAATGAAAACTTCTATAAGTGTGCTACATATTTTCAGTGCTCAGAAATGTTTGTAATGCCTGTACCAGTTAAGGTGTTACCACATATCCATTCTCATGCTCACTACTGCTTTCTGAAGACTGTGGCATAATTAGAAACCTGTTGTGACTCCTCCTTTGAAATTTTCCAGAAAGGGTCATCAGTAAATAGTAGAGCTGGGACAAGTTGTTTTGGTCGTCCCGTGAAAAACCGATGTGTCAACATGAAGCCTGTTAACGGCAATTACTGTGTTTGCATATTCACATATAATAGAACATACTTATAACACAGCACAAGGACTACAGAAGTCCTGCAATATAGATCTAAAGAAACAGGGTTTAATGAATGAGAATGGATCAGATGACATAATATGAAAAATTGATATACTTAGAAATACTGTCCAAAGGCATTAAGGCTTTTATGTCATGATGATCTGTATTGCTGTGTTGTTAGATTAATGCGCATAGTGAACACATTTTTCAAAGAATTTGCCAAAAAAGTGTGATTCAGGAAGTTTTAATTTTCCATGTTGTCATACATGAGTGTGAGACTTGGCCTGTCGCCCAAAGGAAGAACACAGATTGCTGGTGTCTGAGAACAGGGTGCTGAAGGGAACACTTAACGAGACAGGAGCAAGTAACAGGAGGCTGGAAAAAACTGCATAATGAGGAGTTTATTGATTTGTACTCTTCACCAGATCATATTTACGAGGTGCGATCGGAAAGTTTCAAGACTGTGTCAATAGCGGGCGAACCGGATGTAGTACGAGCTTCTGCCTTTAGGGGGTGCGGCCTACATTCATAGTGAATCAGTGTGCCAGCCGGCATCATCGAATTAGCATTTGTTTCTTAGTTACGGGCGTTTTGGTAGTGCATTACACCGACCCTCCTGCGATTTCGGAATGGCGGGTGCATCAAATTTTGCCAAAGACTCGCCAAAACGGCTACGGAAACCTATGAAATCCTAAAGCAAGCATTTGGGGAGTCCGCAATGGGTCGTGCACAAACGTTTGTGTGGCATTCACGTTTTAAAAATGACCGAACCTCTGTCGATGATGCATCATGACAACGCGCCAGCGCACACCGCCCTCAAAGTTCGGCAGTTTTTGGCCTTAAACACCATGGCCGTCATCCCGCACCCTCCTTATTCGCCGTGTGACTTCTTCCTCTTCCCAAAGATGAAGATTCAGCTAAAGGGAAGGATATTTGAGATGATAGAAGAGATTCAGGCAGAATCGCAGATGGTGCTTGACAGGCTGACAAAGAAAGATTTCCAGGGATGCTTCCAGGCTTGGCAGAGGCGCTGGGATCGTTGTGTTCACTCTCAGGGGAACTACTTCGAGGGTGATGGATGAATTTAATACCTGAGATAAGTGTACGGGTTTTTATAGGCGCAGTCTTGAAACTTTCCGATCGCACCTCGTAGGTGGTCAACAAGAGGAGGATGAGGTGATGAGACAGGTATCATACATGCCTGTGATAATTTTGCTGTGCCCTAGTAGTAAATAATAGAACACTAGTTAATAGGAATATATTCTTAACATTGCATAATAAATAAGAATTACCTCAATACAGTTTATTTTTATGAAATACTAAAAAAAAGGAATGAGTCAGGGTAGCTCAGTCAGTACATTGTTTGACTACAGAAGGGGCAAAGAATTTTTATTCTAGCCTCTGCACCTAGTCTGATGCTGGAGCCTACCCAGCCTCGTATCCAATGGATAATGGAGTTCCTTTCCCTAGAGGTAAATCACAACTGACATCACTCTCTCCACAAGCATCTTCATGGTGAATAGTGGGACTTTTCCTTTTTACAAAGAATGGGCGCTTCCAATAGTGGTTGTCTGAAGAATTTAACCATCTGCAAATAGCCATTCCCTTTTTCTTAATTTTCTTCATTGTTCTGATTACCAATGTTTTTTATATGTGAAAATCCCTGAATGAAGATACATACCTGTAATGAGTCCTCCAGCAACAGCAATGACGAGTGTGACACCGAGAGCAAGAAGCTGGTATCCTGCTTGATCACCAGCTGATCTCCCATCTCCAGGAATCAGAAGAGAAAGCTGAGGGTTGTCATGGATTTGGCTGCTGTTCTTAGTTGGTGCTCGAGCAGGGAACTGCTGGTACAGACTAAGACCATACTGAGATTCTGTGGCAACACCAGCCATAACAGCACCTATAATACCTGCCAGCACACCAGGCATTCCATGCAGGTTGTGAACCCCACACGTGTCATGCAGCTTCAGATTACT